CTTTTTTTCCTTTCTTTTAAGAAAAAAGATACCTCAGAGAAGCCGGGCATTGGTGGCGCTCACCTTTAATCCCAGCACTCAGAGGCAGAGGCAGGAGGATCTCTGTGAGTTGGAAGCCAGCCTGGTCTACAGAGCGAGTTCCAGGACAGGCTCCAAAACAATACAGAGAAAGGCAACATCAATTGCGTGTGAGGGGTGGGGTGTGGGAGATACACAAGTGAGTACAGGTGTTAGTGAAATCCTGAAGAGGTCAATGGATCTTCTGGGGCTGGAACTATGTGAAGTTGTAAGCAGCATGGTATTGTAGAGTACTACTTAAAGATGAGTTACATTTGTTTATGCTGTGGAAAATGTGTTTAATAATGCAAAGATTTGTTGAATTCTCTCATGTTTCATCTGTTTAACTCTGTGAAGCTGTGTTACTTTGCCTGTCTAGAACCCGATTGGTCTAACACAAAGCTGAATGGCCAATAGCAAGGCAAGAGAAAGGATAGGTGGGGCTGGCAGGCAGAGAGAATAAATAGGAGGAGAACTCTGGAAGGAAGAGATGAGGAGGAAAGAAGGAGAGGAGGATATTAGGGGCCAGCCACCTAGCCATAGAATAAGAAGGAAAGAAAAGATATACAGAACCAGAGAAAGGTAAAAGCCCAGAGGCAAATGATAGAGGGGATAATTTAAGAAAAGCTGGCTAGAAACAAACCAAGCTAAGACTGGGCATTTATATGAAAGAATAAGTCCCTGTGTGATTTATTTGGGAGCTGGGTAGTGCCCCCACCCCCCACCCCAAAGAGCAAAGAGTATAAGAACAACCAACTACAGCCTGGTGTGCATTCTGGAAACTGCACTTTGGTCCTCTGGAGAGCAGTAGGGTGATGAGTCATCTGAGATGGAGATGAAGTCACTCCTGCCTCCCTTTAAATGACTTTTCAGGTATTTGTCACAGAAACAAACAACAAACAAACAAACAGACAACCTGGTCGGTTTACCTCCCTGACAGAGAGTCACAGTCAGGAAGGCTCAATGCCTGTTGAATGGAAGATGGGCTCTGTGAGTACTGGCAGCATGCTGAGGCAATAAAGAAATAATCCATGCCTGTCAAAGAAGCTGCCAGGGCTACTCACAGCGCATGTCCCTTGGGTGATAGTTCTGAGAGATAACAGAATAACAGGAAGCACTTCATTTTCCTACCGCTCATCTGCAAGAGAGAAATTAGCTGTCTCCATGTTCCAAATTCGACTTTATCAGGGATTAACTGAGTGGCAGGTGGATCACAGTTCTTCACATGTGGCCATCACAGTGAGTTCCAGGACAGTCAGAGCTACAAAGAGAAACACTATCTCGAAAACCCAAAAATAAATAAACAAAATTTAAAAAAAAGTAGTGGAGCAAGCCAGCCAGCAGCATTGCTCCATGGTCTCTACTGCTCCACACTTCTGCCTTGGCTGTGCCCATGATGGACTGTCACCCGTAAGCCAAATAAATGCTTTTCTCTCCAAGATGGTCTTGGTCAGCCTTTATCACAGCAACAGAAAAACTAGGGCAATAGGGGTACTGTGGAAAAGGCACATGAACTCAGCAGCCCTCGGTGTGAGCTGTGGGTTCCTCAGAGCAGTCAGGTTCTTCTATGACCCTCAAACCCAGATCGCCAAAGTTCAGAAAAACTAGTTAAGTGTGACTATTCCAAAACATGAATCATCAATCACACCATTTAAAGACAGAAATCTAAACTATGAAAAAGCAAATGGTTTGTAGTTTTATAAAAGTCACTCAACCTCTGCAAGAGTTGTTTTTTTATTATCTTTCTATTTTTTATTATTATTTTTTTTTATTTCTAATTGTCTGCATTATGTGGGTATATACATGTGAGTGCAGGCTAGTGGAGGGCAGAAGGGGGCAGTAGATCCCTGGAGCAAGAAGGAGCAGGCCCCGTGACAAATCAGCTTTGTGTTTTGAAATCCTTGGCTTGTCATTGAAGTCAGGAACTGGCTGGTATCTTCCTGGGGCAATCAAGGGTGGAAGAGTCTTCCACCTAGTGGCCATATTTGGTATTACAGTTTCTCTCTCCATAAGCTCTTTCTAGTAGATAGCTGGGACACAGCCAGATGAAGTGTGTGTACAGGTTGGTTATCTGAAAACTGTTTACATTTTAATGTTTCCTCTGTCTTATTTAGTATCTCCACTGAGCCATCACTTTGGATAAAGTAGCAGAAGATGTGCTCAGAGCCTTTTTAGAGAAAAAAAGAATTTTGACTTGTGTGTATATGTCTACTGTGGAAGCCAGGAGGGTGTTGAGTGCCCTGGAGCTGTTACAGGTGGTGTGAGCTGCCCAACATGGGTACTGGGCACTGAACTCAGATTGTCTGGAATAGTAACAAGCATTCTTATTGGCTCAAACACCTCTTTAGCCCAGAGTTTCTGTTTTATAAGCAGACGTTTCCATTTTCCTTTCTTTTCTTTTTGGATGCAGCGTCTTTGGTGTGCAGTACAGGCTGGCACTGAACACAGAAAACCTCCTGCCTCAGCCTCTCAAGTGCTGGGATTACAGGTGTGCACCATCAAGCCCAGTTGGCAGTTTCCTCCATTCTAGCTAGCATCACGTGGGGAGGGCGGCTTGAGTATTGTCTTCTGTTGACTTCCAGCCTCAGAGCAGAAGGTAGAGGATGTGCACAGGGCTTGCCACATGTACTTCACAAAGCCACTCCGTCACTTGCGGAAGGTAATGGCAGGGGAAACTGGGATACAGTTGGGATGAGTACAAGATGGAAGGCCAATTTCTAGTTCTATCCTTCATTTTAGTACAGCCCAGGTGTGTAGGGGAAGCTGTAGCCAGCCCCTAAGTAGGCGTGGCTATGTCACTTAGGATAGTGTATATACCTAGTTAGGGATAGCTTCCTATTGTTTATGGTTGGGATTGGAAGGAGGTGTTCAGGCTTGGATACCTCTCTCAGATGACTTTAGGGTTTAGTTAACATAGATAGTTAGAATGTGACATAAGCAGATTGTTGTATCTTCTTATATTTTACCTTTATGATTGTTAATTTTGGATACTTTAAACTGTTAAGTTTTAATCCTCTTTTAGACTAAAAGGGGAATTGTAGGGAAGCTGTAGCCACGCCTACTTAGGGGCTGGCTACAGGTGTGCCTGACCACGCCCTCGAAAGCTTTCGTGGGCGTGGTCAGGGGATGTAGGGTGACTGCGTTTTCGCTTTCGGTTTCTCTTTTTGGGCTTGCTTACAGACTGCTGCCACTCCGGCTGGCTAGGTCACTCTGTAAGTAAGGCTTTTCCCTATTAAATACACTTATATTTCTACCTGACTCCGTATTGGTAATTTCCCACTATACAGGTGTGCTCTAGAAGGATTGACACCATGCAAGGTTTATTTCTAGGAAGTTTAGAGAGTGGCCTTCTAAAGTCCCATTTTTAAAGCTCTGTTGTGCCATGTCTACAGGGTCATTGCATCTTGGAGGACACAAGCGTGTTATCTTCCCCCACTAACTCTGGCCAGAGCACACCTGTAGCTTAAACATTCCACCACATGTACTATCTTTCAAGGGCCTGTATCTCTTGGAGCTAATATTTGTGGCCACTTGTGGCACACACTGCTCTTGGTTCAGTTTTACATCTATCCATCACTAAGGGGAAATCACTGCCTCAAGTTGTAAGAAAAATGTACTTGTAAGAAATTTTCAATACATCTATCAGCAGTCATGACACAAACTCAACCTGGGATCACCAAACAGGTGTATGTCTCACTCTTACAGCCTGCTCTTCTGTTTTACAGTGTGAGCGCCAATGAGGTCATTGGCCTTTGATTTTGGGTGCTGAAGATTGAACTGAGGGTCTCACGCATGCTGAACCGGTGCTCTCACACTGAGCTGCATCCCTTGCACCTCATTTGACTCAACTTCATCCTGTTATTCTGTGACTGATGTCTTGATCCTCATGTCACAGTAACCGGCCACCACCAGGAATGTCAGGGTGTTTACACTGCTGTTCAACATCTACTCAAGTATCCTGACTTTGAAGACTCTGGAAGCCAAGGACTGGGTAGCTCACAAAGGGTGGTTGCTATCTCATCACAAAGAGCAAAATGTACACAGCCTGGGGATGCTGCTTAGCAGCTCCCAAAGCATATGGATGAACTATCTAAACAAGAAGGGGCCGAGGTGAGCCAAGCATCATAAGAGGAAACCAACTGGGCAGAAGTAGGCTATATTCTGTACTTAATATTTTTAGCAGATAATGTGTTTTCACCCATTACACATCAATCAAAGGACATGTGATCCTAACAATTTATTTCTAGGTTCAAATTTCTTAGCAATATCCAGTTTGCACAGTGTCCTAGTATTCCTGAGGTAGGCATTCTTAGGACCCTGACTTAGGGCTTTGGAAATTTTAGTCATGTGTTTGGTTCTTCTAGTGTCTGGCTCTGCAATGCAGGGGAGCAGACACTTGTCCCCGTGGAATGGGAGAGTGGGACCGAAGGCTTAGGAAGTGGTGGCATGAATGACTCTGGGACTTGTCTGATTGAGAAATAAGATGCTGGAAGTGATTTTATGATAAGTTGAGGACAACAGAAACTCCAGTCAAACTCTGCCTGCCTGTGAGGCATACTGACACAGCAGGGTGGACATGCCTGCCTCTTCTCCAGCACCTGGGAACACCTCTCTGGATCTTCATTGCATCAGCGCAACAACACGGACACCAAAGACAGGAGTTTGCATTAGTTCCCTTCTCACTGGAACATGTATACTCTCTCTTCAAATTAAAAGACATCTGCACTTGTCCTCACCTTTTGACCACACAGGTACTGGGTCCTCTTTGAATGTCATGGGGTTGCCTGGTTACCAGATTCTATGAAACTTCAGGTTGTGTCTTAAATCTCTCAATTCTGACCAGAGCTTCCAGTATTAGGAATCCCTATGCCTGAGGGGCTAGAGAACGAGGCCTTTGAAAAGTCAGTACTAGGTCTGACTCTCTCAGGAAAAACTGCAAGAACAACCTTGAAAATTTCTTTATTTATAGACATTTCAGAACCATTTAAATCAACAGAGAATGGATTTTTTTGACATAACATACGGTGTTTATCTTGAGGTACACATTGGGCCCACTAGATAATGATCTGGAAAGCAACTAACTGCTGACGTCTACTTAGCAGCCCACTGTTTCCCCAGCCAAGAAACTGTACAGACACTTGCAAAAGTCTTAGGAAACACAATTTCCATTTAAGTGAAGGAAAACTCGCCAGGTTCTTGAGTTTCAATTTTGTTTGAGTCACAGATGAAACAATATTCCAAATGGAGCATCATATGAAGACAGGAGGGCAAGTTTATGGCTAGGGGATTATCTAAGCCCTATCCTACAGGAGACTGGAAACCAAGGGACCTCATGACCACTAAGCTCTGTTACAAACCCATGGCTTCCAAGTTGGACAGAGGAGCACAACTCCAAAGGAGGTTTGCACCTAGCTTGAAACACATGTTTACTCGTTCCTTATTATCACAATGAGGCAAATGGTAAAACAAATCTTGAAAACTCAAAAAAGTGACGACATGATACGGTCACAAGAATCCTATATTACAAACCCACAGTATAATAAAAGTCCTGTTTCCCCCATTTGCTCTCTGGACTTGATTCTTAGCAGCTTCAGATTTCCAGAAAAGCAATGGAAATTGATGTGATGGACATGTTTCTGAAAGCCTCAGGTGTCCAACAGATCTAAGTTTTTGGTAGACTGCAACTCAAATTGACTGGGTTCTTTGGAGAAGTACTTTGTTTCCCAGTTTGCTATTTAGGGTATACACTTCTAGATGTCAGGCACGAAGAAAGCACTGGGAAAATGAAGGGCTCTCCATCAATCCACCCCCACCCCCTGAACTTCTCGAGGAGGCACACAGAGACACAGAGGCTATGCAGGTGGCTCGGCAATGTGACTGGGGGTTGTTTATGCATGTATCTGATCAGCTGGAATGGACTGTCACATTTCCCATAAGGTTGTGGCATTTCTGTAAGATAAGAATAAACACTGCAATTTAGCTGAATGGGCAGTTTGGTACAACTTCATAAATTTGGATGGTGTATGTGGGCTGAGAGAGAGTATACACGGACATTTCACAGTTCATAAACTTGAGCAGTTCAACTTAAAGACAGAACGTGCAGGCGGTTAGGAGACTGTGGGCAGGATTGGTGGGTGAGTGCTTGAGTTTTCTCTCCGAATTGACTTTGTATTTTACATTTCAGCTGCTTGGCTTGGTTTATTGCTGATGCTCTTTCCCGACGGGGAGGGGGCAGGAAGATTTTAGGCATGAGTTTACGGATCCCCCATAGATCCTGTGTAGACAGTACTTCTCCACAAGTCCCACAGCCACTCACTGGGTTGTAGGGAGTCTGCCACAAAAGGAGGTATTGTCTTGACCTGGCTGGTTGGAAGAGGTTCTGCTGTGAGATGTGGCAGGGGAGGGCTGTTGCTACCTTCTGTTCTTTCTTTCTGCTGGTTTATGAATTCCTTGTCTAGCCAGCATCCTCCACAGACAGGTGTTCAGCTCAGAAGTGGCAATTATACTTATTTGTGGCTTTCAGAAATGCCAGTACTGATTATCATTAAAAAAATTCCAAGTCAGTATCAGAAAACAGGAGACAGTGAAAGACAGATGCATTTTTTTTTTTTCCCGTTAACACATTCCAAGCGTTAGTATCTTGGGGTGTTTACTGTATGTTTAGAGGAGGCTGTCATTGTTTCCATCTGTGGGCTCTTAAAGATGGGACACTACTCTCCACAAACCCACCTTCCAGGAAAATTTCATAGTCTCGCATGCACACATACAGTGTTAGCAACTGTGATTAAGTGGGCAGGGGTGAGGTCTTTCCTCAGCCTTGGGTCTGACATACAGAAAGTGCACAGTGAATGTCCGAAGAAAGCATGACTCCAAGGCCTATCCTTGCTCTCAGGGAGGTTCCAGGATCCCGATCAATACAGACTTGGCATGAGTATGCCAGTACCAAAGCAAACGAACTAAAAGCAGATGGACGATCCTATTTTGTTAAGGTTCTTGCAAAAGATGGATGAAGGCGGTTGTTTATATGGGGCAATCTTCATAGTAAACGCAAGCCAACCCTGCAGCTTGCAGCTGAGTTTGAGAATCATGGTCAAGCGCTGGTGCTGAAGAATGGATGACCTGCAGCGTCTCTACTGCAGGCTGTCTGTTTTTATTCTCTAGGGAAGTTAATGTTCTCAGGCTAGGTTAACTTTCTAAGGAGTTAATTCCTCTCAGAGAGGACTGTTTCTGAAACAGACTCCATGAGTCTTGGCTGTGAGAGGGCAGTAGGGAACGTTACGCATTCATGACTGACTCCAGCTGCCCATTTTAGAGGGGGTTCTTTTGACTTACAGTGCAGTATTTACATCTAGGACGCATGTTAGGCAGGGATAAAAGCTTTTTCTTCTTTGAATGAGATCAGAGACGAGAAACTAGACTAGGCATCAATTCATCTCAGCTCTAAATCACAAGATAGAATTAGGTAGCTTCCTAATGGCAAGAAACAGTGACATACTTCACAGGACAGCAAGCCCTAGCTGTTGGCTCTTGCCTTTAACAGTTATTTCTTTTTTGGTGAACAGGAAGACATGATAAAATATGGTCAATCCTTCAGGATACTCTGTCTCCTGGTGACCAGACAACCTCACCTGAGAGGCTCAGATGTGCATCTTGCTAACAGGATGTCTGCCAAGTTAGAATCTGGGGACAGACTAAGGGACTGTTTGGAGGATATACTTGTTGCTTAGAAAAAAACAGAAACTCTTTGAGGTTATATGCCTTCAAAGAGTCAAGAGTTAGGGCATGATTCTATATTTTGGAGTATTTAATCACATTTAGCAAAATTCTTAGACATGTTCTGGAATTCTCAGAATAACAGTATGGTAGTTATTATTATTATTAATAATTATTATTATTTTAGAGGTATAGGCACGTACTCTTATGGACATTTTAGGTATCAGTGCAGAGATGTGGCGTATATAACAGAGAGGTGGTCTGTTTGAGTCACAAGCTTTCCTAATGCAAGAGGCATGGTGAGAAGAACTCACATGTGGAGAAACGCTTTTCAGATCTCTCATTGGGACACACAGTGTCAGCATAGGTACGCAGGAATCAAAGCAGCTGTCATTTCCCCCAGTGTCAGCATGGACATGCAGGAATCAGCCTTCACATGGGTTGGGTTGAAACATTAAATTCTTCACTTGACTCTTGACTGATCGCTTTTCTGAGTTTTCAGTGGTGGAGTCTATGAGGCCGAGCTTCAAAGGTTCTGAGACTCTGGAATCATTCTGCCAACTGTTCTTGAGAAAACCCACTCAGTTAAAGGCCCCTAAACCCTGACATTAGAAAGGAAACATGTTATTTAAAATATAAGATTCAAAAATTACATTTAAACATATCCGTGTGTGCTTCGTACACACACATACATACCGATTTTTTCCCCCTCTGCTCAATAAAACTAGCAGCAGTTACAGATCCAATGTAATGGTCACGATTTGTGTCATTTCTGAGGATGTCAGGTATCTTCCATCGAAACATGATTTTTGGAAAATGCCTTTTGATAAAGAGATCTCCCCCAAGCATATAACATTAAAGTGTCATGTCACACTACTAACATTGTCAGGCACAAGAGTTAAACAATTGGCATGAAGCGAAGCAAGCCGCAGAACACAATTAACTGCCGGACGCCGGCTCCCCGAGGAAGGGAACTGCTCACAAGTGTTTATGTCTTTCAGCTTTGGCTGTTTTGTAATAAATACCAGGCCTTCTTGAAAACCTACTGGGGTAAAAATTAGTTCTCTGAACATGCCTTTAGTTCTTTTAGCAGCTGTTGAATGTTGAGTGACGTACAAGGCACACCTCTAAGTGTTCTGTACAGCGTCTTTATTGATGTACAAAATAGCCTGTTCACCATTCAGAAACGGAATCTGCATAGTAAGACGTTCTCTATCTCTATTTACAGAGAAGGGTTTTTTGTTTTTCGTCTTTTTTTTTTTTTTTTTTTTTTTTTTTTTTTTTAGTGCAAAAACATGGATTTGTGTCCCAGCCCAAACCTTCTAGCACACGTTTCTCAGCTCTGTCCCATGCTGGCCACAGCCTTTTGGCTAGATCTTAGGCCTCCAGCCATTAATAAACTGCATTATTTTTTTCACCTGCAGTTTGCTTAGTTTGAAATCCTCTGAGAGGATTTCTTCCGTTAACTGAACAAGCAAATTCCCATCGATCTTTTCAGTGACAAAGAAGGCTATGACGTCTTCAGACAAACCGATGAACCGTAAAGACTTGGACACTTCCTCTATAGAGAGTCCTGATAGGTCGGCAGGTGGCTGCCATGGGGAACCATCCCCACAGGATCTGGGGGCCAGCTGGAGGTGGAGTGGAGATGAGAAAGGGTAAGAGACAGAGAAGATGTCCTGCACGCCCTTTCTCACAAAATACTGGTCCTCGGAGAGGTCCAGCGACCCCACTGAGGGGTCCTCCTCAGCACCATCGATTTTCAGAGGCAAAGGAGATGTTTCAGG